TCTTACTGGTTAGGAATGTAAACTTCTGAATCAAGTCTACACAGCTTTAAATTCAGAGCTTCCTCAGTTTGTACTGGGTGACCATTAGGAAGGTCATTTATCTTCCCCTGGGCCTTGTTTTCTCAGCTGTAAGTCTGAAATTGCAGGCTGGGCTTGGGGCTTGGGGCTTACGACTGTAATCCTCACACTCTGAAAGACTGAGGCAGGAGGGTCGCTGGAGCTCAGGAGTCTAAGGTTGCTGTGAGCTATGATGGTGCCACTGCATAACACCCAGGATGACAGAGAGAGACTCTTGTCTCAAAAAAGGAATTGCAATGATTCCATTACAGTGTAGTTGTGTATATTAATTAAGAGTGTATACTAATTGCTTTGGATAATGATAGGTGCACAATTCATGGCTAACAAACATTTATTAATTCTTAAGAAAAAATTATTCTTCCTTGGGGTACTGAAGCAGCACAAGACCCCCGTCAGGAGCGGGGCAGTCGTGCCATCAGTGCTACCTGTGTGACCTTGGGCCAGTCCCTCACCTGCTCTAGTTCTCAGCTGACGTATCTTCATCCTGAGGTCCTTCTGCCAAAATCACAAAACAGCAGCTGTTGAATATTCATGCATGAGACAAACCTTACTAATCTTCCCTGGCATGAAACTTAAAACTCTCTTCTCTAATGAGGGTATTGAAGGAACTCAGGATATTTCAGCCCAAAATATGACTCCTTGGCATAAAGAGGATTTTGAATTAAAGGTCCTTAGAAGTCAACAGCCCTTGGAAGGGGCTGTCCCTCCATCTGCATCAGACGGACCGTCAAAAAGAATAACTGCCTTTCCTTCCTCTCCCTTTATCTCACTATGTTGCAAGAAAGAAGATCAAAAATGAAATCAGACCCGGAACAACTCATTTCAGAGATAATACCTATCTCTTAAGCTAATTCACTTTGCAAAGAGAAACATTTACAAGTCAGTCTGATCCCCCCATCCATTTCCATTCATTCCCCCAAGCCTCATTTATCCTCCCTTGACACCATTTATTGCTACTCACAGACTTACCCATATCCCATATTCCTCATCCTCCCTCCGCTCTGAAATGAGGGTCTATAACCTTCTGGAACCCACTGGGAAATCCGGCCATCATTCTGAGATTCTCCCCATGTGCACAGTAAATAAAACTATTTCTCTTAATAACCTGCCTTATTGCAAGTTGATCTTTCAGTAAATCTTCTGGGACGAGGAGAAACTCTCACACTTTAAGCCAAAGAAATGGAAGTCGTGTGTTTTACTATTACACGTATCAACTTCCATCTTTTGATAGTCAACAAAGGATTTTAGTGTAATCCAAAATTACAGCTAAAAAAGGACAAAATAAAATATACTGGACCTAAATTGTTAAGACTGTTGGGATGCCAGCATAAGCACTTTCTGGAGAGTCACGTATAATTTGAAAAGTCACACCGGCCACCTTTTAATTTTTGATCTACAGATCAGCTATCATAGTTGACAGCTGACAGTTTAAATTTCACAGTGCTTTATTTGTGTGTGAAATAAATAAAAAGTTGGAAGCAGGAAGATATAAAAGGTGGATCTAGATAATTCATAAAATAGACCCTGAAGCACTAAATAATTGAAAGCTAAATGGATTTATAGTGTCAACATCGACCCCAGAATAATCATTGCTGGTGTGTGGGAAAAGGCCATTATTTTTTAAGAAACTCATGACAACTGAATAATCATTTCATTTCAAATCTAATGTATAAAGCCATTCAAGTGTATGTCATACCTTTTTCATAGATAGCTCTGAACGTACTCTAAAATTAGATGCAATGAAATAAAAAAAAAATAGGGTACACAAAATAAGTCTTTGGTGGCGCCTGTGGCTCAAAGGAGTAGGGCGCTGGCCCCATATGCCAGAGGTGTCAGGTTCAAACCCAGCCCCTGCCAAAAAAAAAAAAAGTCTTTAAAATTCAAATAAACTAAAGTTTAAAGTGTAGTTCACTCTGGAATTTCGTGGACTAGGATCCGCATTGAGACACACAGAGGCAATACCGCATGTTAGTGAATGAAGCATTTCTGCTCCACCGAGATCCTGTGTGCATTTGGTCTTATCAGATGTTTAGTCAACAGCCGAAACATTTATACATAGTTAGTCAATTATAACACCAGGAAATCAGCCATTGAATAAGCCAGCCTGTTAATTTTCCATCAGAGATTCATGTTTGAATGACCATGCATTTCAGAGGTTTAAATACCGAAAGGCTAATTATCCCAAAGGCCCCATTAAAAGGATAGCACAAATTGCACTTATAAACAACCTTAATGTGGGGTCAGCTCAAAAACGATCTTCAGCTCTCCATGTAAAGAATACTTCAATTTCTATGCCTACTGCACACTCTGTGAGTGTACAAAAATATATCCACATATACCTATGACACATGTACGTACCTACACCCGTAATCATCTGTAGTGATGACTCATCTCCGTATCTATACCTACCTAGATATCTATACCCGTACATACCCCACCAAAGCAATTTCTTTCCCAAAGCCTTTGAAAAATAAACGTCAAGTTTCTCATACACAAAGATTCATATTTTATAAAGTAAAATGCAAATTAAAACCTTATCTTCCTAATCTCTATTCAACGTTCAATCTTTTTTTTCCTTTTAAAATATTGTCTTACAAAAGGTCCTTATCATTTTTATCCTAACGACTTCAAATTCTTAAGGAAATGTGCAAGAAAACTATTTTTTTTAATTGCTTATTCTGCAAAGAAATCCTGAGAGTAAAAGCAAGTAAGAGTAGGTGAGGTTCAGGACATCTTACTCCAAAATACGGCACTTTGGCATTTGAGAAAACAGTGGAAGCAGATAAGTAACCCACTCCCCACCACCTCAGTCCTTCTGCCCTGAAGCATGTCATAAAACTGAGAAAGAATTTTCTGACACTCCCAGAAGCACGTCCTAAAATGGACAAAGAATTTCTGACACTCCCTGAAGCAAGTCTTAACACCCTCCCTAGACAGGTGCCCTACCCCATACTGGGAGGAAAGGAACCAAGACACAGAAATTCCAAGAAAAGTCAAACCAACAACCTCACTCAGTACCCTCCAGTTTAGCACCACTGGGTCATACTCCTTTGTCCAAACTCCCTAGGACTGTCCACTCTCCATCAAACCTCTAAGCATTCCAACCCACGGCTTTCTCTAAGGCTCCCACGTCACATAAAACTCATGTTAAATGAACCTGTATGCTTTCCTCTTGTTAATCTGTTCTTTGTTATAGGGGCCCCATCAGGAACCAAGCAATAAAGTGAGGGAAAGAAATCTTTCCTTCCCCTAGAACCAACACATACTAGACAAGTTTGGCCATCTACAAAACTAACTGATGTGGAGAGGCCCCTTGGAAGGCGTTCTCATGCTGCCCAGGAGACTTGGAAAACACAAAATCCAATCCACGGGATCAGGACCCATCACGGAATGAGAGTGTAACTAAGGGAAGGTGAGCCTACCCAGCGTTACATTAATTCATCGCAAGTGTTAATATACTAACATTCAGTAATCAGCATTTTCCATTAGGTTGTAAAATCCTAGGGCAGAGACTGTATCTGTTTTGTTCCCTAATATTTGCTGAGGAAATGAAGACATTTATGTATGGAGTTTAAAAAATGGAAGAAAAATCATTTGTCAGCCAGAATTAAGCAGATGACTGTAGCACACAGAGATCTCTCCTGACATTAAAATGCACTGGGTTGCGCTTTTCACCATGTGAGTGGCTTTCCCCCAAGGCCATCTAGGTCCTGTTTCTTAATTATAAATCCAATTCCCACTTCCGTACAACCCAGAAGGATAGTGGTATGAATACTCAGATCTATGGGAAAGTACGAATGAACACATCAGCATTCAGTATTTACATCAACCCAACTTTGTAAGAGTTGGCTTTTGTTTTAAACAAGTCACTGCCCCAGTATTAGGTCTGACTGTGAATTAACCGGTAAGTTTTAGCTTTTGGACTGCCAATCTCATGAACATTAACTTAGCTGAGGCATCTCTTTAAACACGGAGACGGTCTTCCTCTTTAAGAATTGTTGGGCAGTGCCTGTGGCTCAGTGAATAGGGCGCTGGCCCCATATACTGAGGGTGGTGGGTTCAAACCCAGCCCTGGCCAAACTCTAACAACAACGACAACAAAAAATAGCTGGGCGTTGTGGTGGGTGCCTGGAACCCCGGCTACTTGGGAGGTTGAAACAAGAGAATCACCTAAGCCCAAGAGCTGGAGGTTGCTGTGAGCTGTGATGCCACAGCACTCTAAAAAAAAAAAAAAGAAGAATGCTAGGATGTGTACACATAACGGATCACATGCACAGTCACGCAGTTTCATGCTTTTTCTGTCCTCCGTCCAGCCCCCCTTCCCTTCCTTTCTTCCTTCACTCTCTTCGTACCAAAAAATAGGAACAGTTTATTGCTTAGAATTGAATTAAAACACAGTAGCTCTATAAAAATTAAATTTACATTGGGATTAAAATCTTTGCAGTCAGTGAGAGAGTAAGACAGTCACAGACTTGTCTTGAGCCAACACACAGTTCCATGTTGGAAAGGAACCATGACGTTCCAAGTATCCTGGACTATTTGTTGTCTTCTAAGACTTTGTCTTCTAGGACTTGATAAGCAAACATTGGCCGACCTGAGGTATAAATGAACTATTTCCATACCCACCTTGATGAAGAAATTAGGGATTTCCACGTCACTCCCAACTCACCTTTTTGGTGATGATCAAAATGTTTGCACCCCACGTTACCTCTGGGGCTGCGTCCTCTCCTTTGTCAGAGCACTGGCACTGCCAAATTTCTTTTAAGCAAATGGTTTTCATGTCTTTTCATCCCCCCCAACCCTTGACACCCTCCCTGGAATTCCTTTAGTCCTAGAGGGTACATTACCAGCTTTCTATCATGTCCGTATATTACAATAGAGACATTCGAATCGTAACACATTTATTAAAACGCAGACAGTACCTGGACATAGGCTCTGCAAGAGCGCTCTCTTTTCTGAAGCTGAATCCATTAAGACAGCAGATTAAACACAGAATAGAAAAAAACAAGTTAGTGACAGAAGAAAACAAGGAAAATCAAAGAACACACCTACACAAAACACCTGATTTTGCCGTTGGCTACGGTCTAGGGGGGAACGAGAGCTGAGCGGCAGCAAACCCTAAGCGATGGAGTAAACATTTTTGGAACAAGCCAAGTGAACGCTGGGTGGCGTGCAGCTGTTAGGACAGCGAGCAAACTTCGAAGACGTTTAGTAGAAATTAGTAAAAGTCCATCCACTTCGTTCCTTTTACACAACCCACTTCTCAGTTAGGTTAGTTATTAATTCATTGGGAAACGAATGAAGACGTGCGAAGTTAAAGAAATTATGTCAAGAGAACTGAGCCCATTTTGGGAGGATAGATTATTTGTGGTTTACGGATGGCTCCTGGGCCCCAGAAACCACATGCCTGTTCGTACAAGTGAAAAGTTCTGTCTATGAGGAAAATATAAATGCCCATTCATTATGATTAGCTGATTCTAAGGGGCAAACACCAAGAGAAAAATAACTTCTCATTAAAGCAGGTGGTCAATCTCCTTTATCGCTGCTTTGGTTTCTTGAAGAAGTTCTTTTGACAGTTTTGACCCCAAATCAAATTATACATTTTGGAAACTCTGATGGGGTAAGAAGCCTATTTTTGTTTGTTTTCCCTGCCGAGTGATGTTTTTGTGGGCAAAAGGTTTACGCCGACTCATAGTTAGTCCCACGTGTTTTTCTTTTTTTCTGGCGCTAAAATGAATAATGATCTATCGCCCTGTTTAAATCAATGAGCCCAAATTTTATGATTTGGGTTTTCCTCCTCTTCTCTATTGCCTTTTCTTCAGCAGCCTTGATTGTCCAAGGAGAAAATTATCCAGAGTTAAGAGGCAGTTAACTCTGATGCTTTTTGTGTGGCTAATACCGTCCCAGCTCTAATTCATGCCTTCTTCAATGAGTGCAGAGAGTTACTTCCCCAAAGAATTAAGTGAAGGATGAGCAGGTAAATTGCCAAGGCTGTCTTGTGGACCGCTGACTCGAATCCCTGTCTGCAGGTCTCTAAACCCTCCAGAATTTCAATGGGGAGCACAATTGATTTGGACGGAGTTGACTCTGCAAATCTGATGGGTTTTAACTGCTTCGGGGAATGAGGGAACCCCAGGGCAGGCAGGCGGGCCAGCAAGCAAGTGGATAACCTTTGCCCTCCCATCTCCTTACCCCATCATGCAAATTAAGGTATGTCAAACCACATGACACAAACAATTGAAAAGAGCCAAATGGGAAACAAAAGAGTGCATTAAAAAGCCTCACAAATGGAAATTTGCCCATTACGTCGTTATTTGATATTCAGAGCGGGCAAGCTGATTAGCGGTAGCCAGTTAGAAAGTGACATTAATCGCCAGCGTTACCTGATCCCATCAGGCATCAACACCATTTTTAAGTACAGTTACAAAGTCTCGCTATAACAAGGCATGTTACGGATATGTAACATTAATAGAAATTGCTACTTTCCACACATTGTCATAACAGAAGCTGGCAGCAGAGTTCACCACCAGCATCTAGTGGGACGGGCAACAACACAGCAAAAACTCAGCATGTGCAGATTGGAGGGGGCAGCTGCAGATTAGACCCTATCAGGGCCCTAAGTGACAAAAATAATTCCACTGTGCTCCCGTGGAAAAGGCTGTAATGATCCTAACAGATAGAACTGTACCAGTTTTGGGAAGATGAAATCAGAGCCAAAGTTTACGATCTGGCTTTTTTTCTAGGTAGAACAATTACGATTTTTAAAAAGTCTTTCATTTGGATGAGTGAAATTCTGACCTGTCAGGTGCAGAAGAACTATGTCTATATTAAATCCGATCTGCAGCCAGTTTTCATTGTAAAACGGAACATTCTTTTAGTGAATTCCAGACAGGAACATTAGTCTGCTACTGTCAAAGCCTTGCTGTTTTAAATTTTATTTTATTTTTGTTTATTTTTTCAGACACACGGATCCTGAAGAATAAATTCTTGCCTTTTGAAGGAGTGAGACTATCATGATATCCAAGGCATGAAAAGGCAGGTTTCATAACCAAGCTTCTTACCAGTAGCAATCCTAATATTTTTTCACCATGGGCTTAATTAACCATGTGACATTTTTTTACATCTTAAAAATATATTCCTTATGTAGATGTAAAATATATTTTATGTTTATCTAAATAAACATATAAAATGCATAGAAAGTATTTTCCTTGAAATGAAAAAAGTGAATTACTTTCATTATTCACAATTTAAATTTTTGGAAATAGATTCAGACTTTGAAAAATTTTAATGGTACTAGTGTGAAATCTGAGCGATTTCAAAGTCTAGAGAAAGTCAAAATTCAAACTTAATTATTTGCCCCATGGGTTTTTAAAGCCTGTTATTCATTAGTTTAAATTACCTCATTTTAAAAGCATCTAAAGTGGAGTTTTCATATCCTCTCGTTGCTACTTTTAAAATTCCTACTTATTGATGAGCCATTTACTGTCGATTATTTTAATATCAGATTTGAAAGAAAAACAAACAAACAAACCAAAAGCTAAATTTCATTTATCCACAATAACCCTGTCGGAATTTAGCACACAAAATAGAGTAACTACTGCGGGAAATAGAACTGTAAATTCAAAATATACGTGGAGAAATTCTTATTCATTGTTTCTTTAGATTAAGAACTGGATAGAGTTCCATTAAATATAATAAGCAATGAAGTAAATTGAACAGAACTAACGATTCTGTTTAGGATAACTGAGTTCTACAGAAAGAGGAAAATTAAGCTGGGAAGTCTTACAGATTTTACAACTTAAAGATACACAGGTGGAAAGTGGGGTCCTGACCTTGTTCAAACTGCGTGCAGCGCTGTCCTTGCCACCGGGGGTCAGGTTCCGCAGCTGGACGTCCAGGAGGCCCACCAGCTGGTCCATGGCCCGGACGGAGTAGGTGATGTCCCCAGCATTCAAGTGATTCCTGGTCTGCTCAGCGAGCTCTCTTGCAATATTGGCAGCTGTCTCTCCAGATTTCAACTAAAAATTTGAAGCAGAACACAAAGAAAAGCGATCTTACATAAATACTTTGTGAACTAACCTAAAAATCTTCTTCTTTTTTTTTTTTTTTTTGCAGTTTTTGGCCGGGGCTGGGTTTGAACCTGCCACCTCCCCTAAAATCTTAAGGCTCCCCCTCAGCGACTGATTGACGGGACCCCCGTAGGTCAAGGTCATCCCTCCTTAGCTCTGAGATCAGACATGCCTCCTCGTGCTCCTCTCCCTACTTAGAGATGTCCTCTGTGAGTCTTTAACAGGCCAAAGGCTTTGCTATCCCTCACTGCAGGTCCTCATCTGAGTCTGCATCCAAGTCCCAGGGTTTGTCACTGATGAACGACCCTTAGCTGAACCCAGCACCTGTCTTCCCTAACTCCTGGTCTATTAGACAGACCCTAACGCTTGCAGTCAATTGTCAGCCAAAGGATCTTTAAATCCACCTCTAACCTGTGGGCCCCCCACGTTGAGAGGTCCACTGTTTGGAGCCAAGCCAGTGTATACTTTCCACATATTAATTTATAACTTTACCCGTTATTCCTGTCTCCGCAAAATGTATAAAAGCAAACTGTCCCCGACATCCCCCGAGTCCACCTGCTCAAGGTTTCCTGGGCCTGGCCCTGGGTCATGGTTCTCAAATTCGGCTCGGAATGAACCTCTTCAGATTATTTTAGAGTACAGCTTCTTTTCTGTTGGTGACTTTTATATGATTATTTTTTACAAGCCAGTTTTAGTCACCAAGGCAAGAAACAGTTCCCGATTTCATCTTCACCTGTGAAGGTTCCCCCAACTTGTCATGCTACCTTAGCTTTGTCTTCATAACCAGGGTTGAATTTCATGCCAGGAAACTCCTCCTGAGGAATCCTACTTCTAAAAATTATTCTCACCGTAATTGTCTGTTTGGGTCAAATGCTTGCCGTATTAATTTCTCTGTGACATTCTAAACTGGACTTTGATGAGTGTGTGTTGTAAATCCCCGGCCAGATTCTAAGTTCCTAAAGGCAAGTACGAATTTTTCTTCATGCCTAGAGATCTCCAGAGGGACATTCTTTTAATCAATGCACCATTCATAGTATCTTGAATTTTCTTTTTACAGTTTTCTACCTATTCTATTCTTATAAGAATGACGGTATCTGTAGGGTCGCTATTATTTTATTTTGTTAATCATGGGTTCTTATATAATTAGTTTGTGATTGCTTTATTTCCTTCTATTTCTTTGTTACCACATAATATATTTTTTATCAGGAAAAAAGTCAAGCTTAAGTGGATCTCTGGAATTTCTGATTCACTTTAATGTACATGGTGAAAAGAGAGTGAGATCTACTCAACCAGGCAATCTGCTTTCTTCATTAGCACAATATGTTCAAAACTAAGATGGTACGTATTAACTTCCATTCTCTTTATCAGTAACCGTTAGTAAAATCGAAATTATCTGTCAATCAGAGGAAAATTACATGGCCCTGGTATTTTCGGATTGTAATTCATTTCTTTTTTATTTCTGTGCAGTTACGAAGGCCTAAGTTTTGGTATTATTATGTTGGAATTAGATAGGGTAGAAAAGAAGAACTCTATAATCCCCTTACACAAAAATTCAAACATTTTCTTTATGGATAGTAATTCAAAAGTTGAGAAAGTAGATGACCAATGAGTCAAATTTAACTTTTCTTAACATAAAAGACAATGATGGGACATTCAGCTTCCTGTATGTGTCAATAACAGATACTGCAGTTTTATAAGTCAGTGACAGGAAAGTAAATCTCAAATAAATCCAGCTGGGGAGGGCAAATTCACACTTCCTGGGTGCAGTGCACACTGTGTGGGTGGGAGGCACGCTATGACCTTGACTCAACCTTGAGAAAACCAAAGCCTGTGCTCCGAACTTGAGTACCCCATAGTATTCTGAACCTAAAACGAAAACAAATGCACACAAAAAGTGAAACCTCACATGGCTGTGGCTCTCAGGAAGCTACATTCTACCAGTTGGGATTGGGGTTGGATACGTATATAAGGGCGCATAAAATTAATTTAACAATGCAATCCTCACGATGGGAATGTGTATGAGGTGTTACGGGAACACGGTCCAGGGGCAGTAAACACCTGAAAATGGGGAGGGAGGGCAGGAAGAGGTAACAGCCCAGCCCAACGTGAAGGTTGAGAGTGACCAGGTAAGATGAAATACAGGAGCAAAGACAATTTTCTCTGAAGTCAGCTTTGTGGTGCCGTTATATCAACCACTAGTCAGAGGCCAACCAGCCGGGGAAGGAATTATGTACAACATGTAAGCACAGAGGTACACAGCTACCATTTCTTTGAAAGGTTTAACTATTTTACTGTAAATCTGCGTCAGGGGGATAGATGAGTAACGAAATACTTCTTACAGCTGCAGGTGGGTGAGACCAGGCGCCAGGGCTCACACTATAATCCCAGCACCTGGGAGCCCGAGGCGGTGGGGATAGCTCCCGCTTAGGAGTCTGTGACCACCCTTAACAACAGCAAGACTCTGTGTCTACTAAAAATGGAAAAAACTATCCAGGCATTGTGGTGGGGCTCACAGTTCCAGCTACTTGGGAGGCCAAAGCCAGAGGTTAAGAGTTTGAGGTTGCTGTGAGCTGTGGTGATGCCATGACACTCTACCCAGGGCGATAGAGAGTCTGTCTCAAAAAACAATAAACAAACAAACAAACAATTGGAGGTGGGTTTAAAAAAGTCATTTTTTAGGCCCCACTGGTCTCTGACAAAATTAAGATGCACCTTGCTTCCATTCTACACTGGATCTAAGGAAGTTAAAACAGGGACATCAAGGTACAGGAGGCAGGAGGCAATCTGGCCTTTCAGGGCAAATAACCGGTTTATTTTATATTGTAAAATAACAACATCATTTCTAGACCTTCACACTCTTCTTTAGAAAATGCAGGAATAACCTCACACGATCTCAACATCTGTCAGGAGCTGTGTATAATCAAAGAAAAGGCACTTCAGTTAGCTGGAAATAGAGATTGTTGTCGGACAACTCAGACCATTCTTCTTCACATAATAGTTGGCCAGGCAGGGGAGTGGGAAGCTGACCTCACTTTGCATGTAAATAATACGGAAGCTTTTCAGCACTGTAGTACCACCAAATTTCAAGTAAAAAAGAGACTGGTGAGATTACAAAGTGCAATGAATTCTTTAAAAGGACACAAAACAGAAATTATAAACTATCTGAAAAACTGAGTGCAAGGCGGAGAGATCAAACTGAAGCCAGGCACTGATTTTATGGCATTCATGAAGAAAGGTGAACAAATAGATATTTCTGTATATTTCAGGAGGCACGGCTCTGAGCTGACTTGCTGGCTATCAGTGGAAATTGGAAACTGCTTTTAAAGCATTAATTTGAAGACAGAGCTCTCTTCCGATCCGTGCGTCCACCCACTCATCTCTCTATTTTACTTTCTGTCCACCTATTTCATCCCCAGGCCTCATTCACCTGCTCACCTTTCCCCCCCCTTTCCCTCTTTCCTGTTTCTCTCTCTCTGCCTCACTATTGGGGCGAAAGTCTCTTTCTTTCTTTTTTTTTTTTTTTTTGAGACAGAGCCTCAAGCTATCCCCCTGGGTAGAGTGCTGTGGCATCACAGCTCACAGCAACCTCCAACTCCTGGGCTCAAGCAAGTCTCTTGCCTCAGCCTCCCAAGTAGCTGGGACCACAGGCGCCCGCCACAACACCTGGCTATTTTTTTGGTTGCAGTGTCATTATTGTTTGGCAGCCCTGGGCTGGATTCGAACCTGCCACCTTAGGCGTATGTGGCTGGCGCCTTAGCCGCTTGAGCCACAGGCGCCGAGCCAAAAGTCTCTTTCTATGTAACTTACGCTCTCCCCTTTTTGTACAAATTACACTTTTTATCAAATTTCATTATTGTGAAAGTATTTGGGGTTGTTTGCAAGGAATTTGTTCATGAGATCCTAACTTTAAAACTTTACATGTCATCAGTGAAAAGTCATCTGTTCTCTTTTGTTATACAGAATTTAATCTTTGGCTCGGTGCCCGTAGCACAGCGGTTATGGCGCCAGCCACATACACCAAGGGTGGTAGGTTTGAACCTGGCCTGAGCCAGCTAAACCACAGTGAAAACTGCAACAAAAAAATAGCTGGGTGTTGTGGCGGGCGCCTGTAGTCCCAGCTATTTGGGAGACTGAGGCAGGAGAATCCCTTAAACCCAAGTGTTGGAGATTGCTGTGAGCTGTGATGTCATAGCACTCTACCAAGGGGGACGGCTTGAGACTCTGCCTAAAAAATAAATAAATAAGTAAAATAATTTAATCTTTCACTACCTTAAATAAGTGGCCCAAATCCATTTATGTGTCCAAACCACCAAGATTCTTTACCGGTTTTGTACCTGGTCTTATTCCTTGCAAGGAGGTTCTTCCTTTAAAGTCCCCGATGCCCCAGAGACCCTGTACAGACGGAGGCTGCTGTGACCTGAATGTCTGTGCACCCACCTTCCATATGTTGAAAACCTAATCCTCAATGTGACTGAATTAAGGGGTGAGGCCTTTGGGGGGGGTGAGTAGGTCATGAGCAGCGCAGAGCCCCAAGGAAGGACATTTGTGCCCTGATAAAAAAAATCCCAGGAACTGCCCCTTCCACTCTGGGAGGACCAGGACAGTGACATGTGGCTGCCTCTGAGCCAGAAAGTTCCCTCCCCAGACACAGGGCCTGCCCACACCTGGACCATGGACACCCAGCCTCCAAAACTGTCGGATGTAAACTCAGGCTGTTTGCAGGCCCTCCCCTTGGAGACCTGGTTTCTCCAGCTCTGTTTTTGTTGGGGGTAAAAAGTGCGCCTTTGCTTTCAAAGTTTGACATTCACAGAACTTTACTGGGGTGGGGAGGGCAAGGGAACAGTTCAGTAGAGGTATCTATCTGCAGTACCTTAATTTCTCAACACAGCAGAAAAAAAATCAGAGAAATGAGGAAGAGGTGGGGGCAGAGGACAGAGGGTGGGAGAAGGGGAAGAGAGGAGGAGAGTAGGGAAGGAAAAAGGGAAATGAGGCCGTGGTCAGGAGGAGGGGGAAGGAGAGGCGCGCAGGGAAAGGGGGAGGGGGAGGGACGAAAGCCCAGAGAAGCCGAGGGCTGTGCTGGGCGCCTTGCCCCTCCTTGGCTAGTTCAGAGTCTCGCTGTCCTCCATCTGGCTTTCCCTCCTGGGAGATGGACTCACATGCGAGGCACTGGGAGAATCCCTCTTTCTGGCTTCTGGTAGAATTTGGCCAGCGGCCTGGCTGGGCAGGAAGATGGAGGGAGGCGGGCAAATGAGGTTGGGGTATTTATGCCCCTTACTCCCTTTCTGAAGGGTTACCTGGGGCCAGGCTGTGCCCCTGGTCTAGGGACCCTTCCTCTCTGGGACACCGTCTTTCCAGGGTTTGGTCACTCTTCTGCCCTGGCACCTGCAGGCCTGGGCTGGCCACAGTCCCCCAACCCCATCCCAGTTTCAGGCTCTGCGTTCCTGTTCAGTCCCTTGCAATCCACCTTTGCTGCCCCAACATGGCTCTAAAGAAACCCCTCTTCAATGTGCCGTCCGAGTGTTGCTGGGATTGCAGTGCTGAGGGAGGAGATGAAAAAAAGGATGAATTGAATGGAAGACGCTTTGGAGTGGAGGGAGAGAAAAGATGGGCAAATTTGGGGAACGTTGCAACGGGTTCTCTCGTGGAGGTTTATAGCGCTAATATGTAAGTGTTCAAGTTCATGGTTAAGATACCTGTTCAACTATCATTTATATTCAATGAGTAGCATAAGTATTTGAAGGGATACAGCAGATGAAAGAGCAGACAGAGGAAAAAGAGATGGGCTAAGTCCACGAGCGTAGGGCTATGAAGGCAATCGCCATCTGTCCACATATTAACTAGCGCTGTGGCCGACCACGGCATCTTCGTGACTCATGGCTGACCTTGGCCAGCTCTACAGGCTGACCGTGAGCGATCAAAACTGTCCTGTTTATACTTTTGAAGATGTTATAAATCTATGAGTAATCAATCAATGTAAGATATTGTTACAAATTGTAAGTTTTAAGATACACAAACTTCAAGAATCAGAAAGGACCCTGTCGGTGGTCTTTCTTGGGAGGAAATAAAGGTTATAACTCGGTCTGTATCTTCACTTTCATAGTGACCTATGTGGAATAGAATCTTACAGAATGTGCAGGATTAAATAAAACCTCTCTGGAAGAATAGGATATACTTAGGATAAAACAAAAACATCCCATCCGTAAATCAAACGGACAACAGCTGTCTGGTCTTGGAAAGAAATTATCTCTTTTGCGCTAAGATGTACAGGGCTGAAGAGGAAAGAAAAGAATTAAGAATCAGTTTCACCTACTAATTTCTTCAATACAATAGTCCAACTATACTCAGGAATTGTCACAAAAACATTCAGCTTTCTAGAAGAATTATTACTGAATTTATGTTAACCCCTGGGCTCAGTAGGCAGGGACTATTTTTAAAAAGTCACGAACGTAAGAAGATACGGTACTGATCTCTTAATCTGATCACACTCAGCAAGAAATTATGTGCCCTGGGGTCTGTGCTACATGGTAATAAAATCAAAGGACACAAAAACCGTGGCGGGAACGGCGCTGAAACTGGAGAAGGATTGTTATGAGTAGCAGCAAGGAGAGGGGTGCATATTTAAGAGGGTAACTAGAACCACTGTTCTCCCATGATTTAGGGCAAACAGATAGTTATGGCTCATCTACGAAATGATCTGCTGGGTAGATATTTACAGATTATTATACAGTATATTATTGAGGATAAGTCTGGTTAAAAACAAATAGAGAAAAGAGCAAATGGCACGGGCAGGCTTTTAGTGAGGCCATCATTTGTAATATTTCTCGGGAAAAGTCTCGCCCAGAAATTCCTCAGCATAGCTAATGTGCCAGAGACGGACTCTCCATTTTAGGAGTGCATAAATCCACATAAATTGCTATAATAAGGATTCATCCCATAGCCCTTTTGGCATAAATGCACATCTGGTCTCTGTTTGTAATGAAATCAATTCAAAACCCCTCAGTGCATTAATAATAAAAATGTTCAACACAGTGCAACCAAACAAGGCCTGCAAATTGAAGTCTGCAAGATTCCGTGGCCCTGTGTACACTTCCAGCACTGACAGGTGATGGGGGTGCAGAATGTTTATCAGATGGCTTAAGATTCCGAAGGTAGACCTTTTCACTGCAGTTATTTTTAACACAGGAAACCCCATATGTATGTGTTCTGGAAGATTTTGTTTGCTTCATTTACAATGCCCCTTGGACTCTTTTTTTTTTTGAGACAGAGTCTCACATTGTTACCCTCAGTAGAGTGCCTTGGCATCACAGTTCACAGCAACCTCAAACTCTGGGGCTCAAGTGATTCTCTTGCCTCAGCCTCCCAAGTAGCTGGGCTACAAGTGCCCACCACAACACCTGGCAAGGTTTTCTATTTTTAGTAGAGACAAGGTCTCACTCTTGCTCACTGTGGTCTCGAACTCCTGAGCTCAAGCAATCCAGTCACCTTGGCTTCCCAGAGACCTGGGATTATAGACGTCCACTCACTTTGGCCTCCCAGAAAGCTGGGATTACAGGCATCCAGCCTTTGCCTCTTGGATTTTTGTACCTTTAGTTCATAATACCACGGAAATTTTATTAATAACAAAATTACTATAAGCAATACTTTCTGGCTTAGAGGAAGCTCTTCAATTTTCACATTAAAAATAACTAAGTTTTAGAATTAGCTTATGGCGTATTAGAGGCTGGCATTGTATCTGCCCTTAAATTTAAATGGGAGAATGTTTCCACATTAATTAAAAAAAACTCTTCACTGTTTTGTTTTCAGCGGGCATAATAAATAACAGAGAATACGGTTGCAGCAGACTCTCTTGTCCGACACAAGGTTTACCTTCTGTGTTATATGATTGACCCAAGGAGAAGAACAGTTGCTGAGGTCTGGTCCTTGGGGATCCCAGATTCCATCGGGCGCGAGGCACAGGTAAGTGGACACACCTACAGGAACGAGAGACACACGTCTGATTCTGATTCTTAGAGGGACTTCAGATCTGTGCCCTGTGTAACTGGGGCAGAAGTAAAAATGAGATAATTAAACTGACAGACTAGAATGTCTGTGAGAACCCAGGAGTCGGCAGCGGGGAACTACAGAACCACAAACAAACCAGACATATTTTTAAGGCCCTTGCTGGTAGCGATGCCTGGCACGGAGTGAGGTCGTGGTTTAGACCGAGGTGCACCTGTCTCCACGGAGCCTACTGCTTGAGTTTACAGAGGCCCAGCAGCAGGTGAGTCTTAAAGGGATCCGAGGGTGGGTTTCTCAGGAAAATGAGGCGGGAGAGCACATTCCAGGCGGAGGAAACTATGCTGTCTTCTAGAAACTTCAGCTTTTTTGAGCTGGGCTCTGCTGGACGAGGGAGCTCATTTAACGAAGTTGGAGAGGGAGATAACCAGACCATAAAGCTTCCACCATCTGGGGGTGCTGGAAAATCATTGGAGAAAACTAAGCAGAGAGAGATGAACAAAGGGGGGTGTAGAAAGTGACTCCAGCAGCAGCGTGGAGGACGGCTTCAGTGGCCAGAGACTGTGCGGGGCTGGCCTCAGTGGGTCCAGGGAGAGACTGTGCGGGGCTGGCCTCAGTGGGTCCAGGGAGAGACTGTGCGGGGCTGGCCCCAGTGGGTCCAGGGAGAGACTGTGCGGGGCTGGCCGCAGTGGGTCCAGGGAGAGACTGTGCGGGGCTGGCCTCAGTGGGTCCAGGGAGAGACTGTGCGCGGCTGGCCGCAGTGGATCCAGGGAGAGACTGTGCGGGGCTGGCCGCAGTGGGTCCAGGGAGAGACTGTGCGGGGCTGGCTGAGCACGCAGGAGCATGGACAGGACGGGGTGAAATGAGGCAGGATGGTGATCTGTGAGGGTTTCAGGTCTCCTTAAATCTCCTCCCCAGTTTACACAGAATAACAATGACATATTTCTGTAGTACGGAGGGCTTTCCAGCAAAGTATTTCACCCATCTCTCACGAACGTCTGGAGTAGGGGGACTGTTACTATTTCTCTTTTAGAGGTAAAGGAACAGAATCCCAGAACTAAAGGGA